TCTGTTCAATGCACATGTCCGTTTAACATGATGCATCTGATTGTAATCATTTGCATGGCAGAATATGCATAAGATAATAAATAGGAAGTTTCCTAAATGTTATTTTAAGGACAATGTTAACTGCCCAAAGTCAGCTATAGGCTAGATTGGTCAACTACTTCTATTTCATTACATCTTTCTAAGTATATTTGGTCATGGTAGAGGCTACTATGAAACCATGGGTTGGAATGAAATTATTGTTTTGTTTGCAGAGTGATATGCATGCAGCTTGGTGAGTATTTTGTTCTGTTTCCAGTTTAGTTCTCTGCCTCCCTGCCTCCTACTTTCAGATACAGGTGTAAATTCTTAGCTACTTCCCCTGGGACCTACATATATTAAAGATATCTACAGCAAAATACTCCAGCCTCCTTCCTTTCTGCAACCATGCTTTCCACCTTGTTGATCATGGATTAATCCTCTGGAACCATGACCCCCTAATTTAAATATTTTCTTTCATAAATTTTCAAGTCATTTTTTTTCACTGCAATAGGAAAGCAGTTAAGCACTTGCACTCCTAGTAAGGAGATTAATGAACAGTTAATGGAGGGAAACCTCCCCTCCATGCATATGATGAAAGTTGACACCTGTAGTGGGTAACCATTCTAGCTCGGATCTTGAAGTTCCAACCCCCATTGAGACTCTGGCAACTGTCATGCCTACAAGGCAGGGCCAGGGGAGGTGCCTGGTGACACAAGAGCTGGATGGACCAGCACTCTCTCTGTGTGCTCTCTCTGTGCCGGGACCCTGAATGTTGGAGGTGGGCCGAGCAGAGCTCCAGAGAACACCACTGGACTGCAATACACCTTTCTCAGACTCTGCGACCTACCTATTACTTAAATCATGAATTATGCCATTAAATAAATATCCTTTTAACTACGTGGAGTGGCCAAAATAATTTCACCAATATCTGGCGCCCAACGTGGGGTATGAACCCATGACCCTGAGATTAAGAGTCTCACCCCCATTGAGACTCTGGCAACTGTCATGCCTACAAGGCGGGGCCAGGGGAGGCGCCTGGAGACCCGAGAGGTGGATGGGCCAGTGCTCTCTCTGTGCACTCTCTCTATGCCAGGACCCTGAACATTGGAGGTGGACCTAGCAGAGCTCCAGAGAACACCGCTGGACTGCGATAAACCTTTCCCAGACCCTGCGACCTACCTATCACTTAATTTGTGAGTTATGCCATTAAATAAATATCCCTTTAACTACGTGGAGTGGTCAAAATAATTTTACCAATAGACACCCTATCTGAGGACTTGTGGTAAAAAATGAACTCCAAATTCTGAGAAAAAAATATGTTTGCAGTATTAGTTTGTTTGAATATTAGACCCTTAGACTTTTCAAATACATTGATTTGTTTTTTTTACTTTATGTCTATATACATTTTCCTAGCTTATATTTTGTGGACCTTATAAGTACAAAGTTCTCAGAGGCAAGGAGAGAGGCTCAGACACCTGGACCTGGAGTTGTCAACAGTTGCTGGCAGTCATGTGGGTATTGGGAGTCCAGCACAGGACCTCTGAAAAAGCAGCCAGTTTTCTTAACCAAAGTTCTGGACATGCTAGAGGCTGCTATGAAGCCATGGGTTTGAATGACTATATTGCTGAATTAGAACCCTGCTTCCTCAGAATTTAAGGCTATAGCTAGATAAAAACAATTTCTGGCCCAAATCTAAAGTACTGAAGCTTCTTTTATTACGTGTGTGTAGAGGTGTAAGTCTCTCTCTCTCTCTCTCTCTCTCTCTCTCTCTCTCTCTCTCTCTCTCTCTCTCTGTGTGTGTGTGTGTGTGTGTGTGTGTGTTGACATTTCTGCTGTATAAATCTCAGTTGTTGTCATGACTCTGCTACTCATGAGAAGAATTCCTGTGTTTTTAATGTTGCTAGGCCTGGAGAAGTGGATAGCTTGTAGCACAGAAAAGTTTCTCCAATTCCACACAAAAAGATCACTTTACTTTCTAAATTCTGACAAAGAGAAACACTCTCAACAGCTGGAGACACCAAGAGGAGCAAACGGGCCAATGCTGACTCTCACTTCTGCTTCCCTGGGTAGTTTATGTCATGGCTTGAATCACCGTGAGAGGGGTAGTATAATGATTTTGACAGTAATAAGTTGCAGCATCTTCAGACTGCAGACTGCTGATCTTGAGAGAATATTGTGTACCAGATCCACTGCCGCTAAATCTCGATGAGACCCCATCTACTAAGGTGTTTGCTTTATAGATCAGGAACTTATGAGGTCTGCTTGGTTTCTGCTGATACCATGCTAAATTCCCATAAAGGTCCTGAGTTGCCTGGCATGTGATGGTGACACTTTCTCCCAGAGATGCCGACAGGGAGGCTGGAGACTGGGTCATCTGGATGTCACATCTGGCACCTGATACTGGAAAATTAAAAACAAATTCCCCCACAATAAATACTGTTATAAGAGAACTTTCCCAGAGACCAAAGAGCATTGTCTACACTCAGCTGTGTACATTTCCAATGTTGTCTTCCTCACCTGTAATCAGGAACAGCAGCAACCCAGGAAGCTGAGTGGAGGCCCTCATGTTTGTGCTGTGACCTGTGTGAGGCTGACTTCAGCACAGGGGGCGACCTGACTATGAAGAAGTCCTCAGGCAGTGGGGCTGTGCTCTGGAAACTTGCAAATCAGCAATGATTGGCCACAGCCACAGGACTAGCCATGTCAATGACTTTTTAAATGCCCATGGTTGTCTTAAGTCTCAGATAAGAAAGGCAGTGCATGTTTATTTGTAGCAAACACTCTCCTCTTGGGAGACCAAAGAACAGCAGCAGTGTATGAGTTGTACCTTATATTGATTTGTATAATTTTTCATGTAGAATTTCCTTGTTGCCTTTTCCTCCATAGCAGGGGCTGTCAGATATGTTACAGTCTAGACAGTACATAAATGGTTAATGGGTCCTTTGATAGGTAGCTATAGATGTTATAGAGGCCATGCAGCTTCTTTTGTATGTAAATATATGTATATATAAACATATGTTTATATATAATTGAGTATGTATTTGTTCATTAACAAACTCTAAAATTTAAAGTTCTCAACTTAAACTTTAGGTAGTAGAATTAAGAACTTATGTCATAATTTGAAACTTTTACAACATTCTTGTATTAGTGCTTATTTGTTAGGAACACCCATATCCACAGTGCTTCACATTCCACAAAAGCACAGAAAGATATTTTCATCCATATTGACCACCTTAAGAATAGGTGATAGAGAAATGTGCCTTCATTGCTTAGATCTTATCATTTGAAACACAGACAATCTTTGATGAAGAACTGCTGTGGGAAAGACCTATTATACTTCCCTAAATTAGAAAACATTATAAATATAAGAATTCCTAAAGCCCTGCATATATTCTCAAAAGCCCAATGACACACTTCATAGGATAAGTATGAAGTTCAGAAAATCTGAATCATAGCTCTCATACATTCCTCTGAAAAGGATACCACAAAGATGAGTCCTCTGGTTGTCTTATCCCATTATCTCCATCTACACATTTCCTCTTCTTTTAAGGGAGGGGCTGCTAAAGGCCATTGCATGAAACTCAGAAACATTTCTATTGTAGAAATATTGAGAGATTATATAACATATTAGCCCCACTCTTGACCATATTGATTTTCTGAGGGAGAAATCAGATGGGCCCTGAGTAGCTAAAAGGAGCTTTATTTTTTCTGGTATGTAGGACGGTGTGAATTGGGGACTGTTCTGTGGTTGTTACTAAGTGGCAGCATCTTCAGCCTCCATGCTGCTGATTATGAGAGAGTAAGAGGTCCCAGAACCACTGCTGCTGAAGAGATCTAAGACTCCAAAAGCAAGGTTGGATATGCGACAAATCAGGACCTTATGAGTGGCTCCCAGCTTTGGATTGAACCAGTGGAAGTTATCAGAGATGAAATGAGGTCCAGAGTTTGACTGAACTATAATAGTTTCTCTCAATATTTCTGCAACAGAATCAGGGCAGTTTTACTGATTGGCCTTAAGCTGTTCCTTTCTGCAAGGAAATACAGGAAATGTACAGATGGAGATATTGGGATAGAAAAACCAGATGCCCCATTTTGTGGCATCCTATGCAAAGGAGTGATTCAGAGCTGGGATTCAGATTTCCTAAACTGGGAATTGATCCTGGGGAAAGCATGAATGGGCTTTTGAGAAAAATATCAGCACTAGCACTTTAAGAATTCATATTTTCATAAATGTTTCAAATTCAGTGAGGAACAAAAGCTCTACCCAAGAATAAGCCTTCATCAGTGATGATCAAGAAGAAGTAAACAATGAAAACAGAGTTGTCTGTCTTTCCACTTGGGTTGGGGAATATTGATGACAGTATCTTTCTACATATTTGTAGACTGTGTAGCAGTGTGGAAATGGGTGTGTCTAACACACAAGCACTAATGCAACAAAGTTGTGAAACTTTCAATTTATAGCAGAGTCTTCATTCTACTTCCTGAAGTATAAATTGAGAATATTGTATAATCTAGTCTTTAAATTTTAGATTTTAGATTTACATAAAAGCATACACAGTAACATAGAGAGGTCCTAAATTATATTCATACAAATGACTCAACTTAATAATTTTTGAAAATTTTATTTCAAGTCATTATATATTCAGTACAATCCTTCTGTTAGGTTTTAAATGTTCAACACTTCCTGCATTCTAGCTTGTGGTACCAGTGTTTTTGATTGACCCTTAGCTACAGCAGCAGTAGCAGCATCACCGAGGCAGCCAGGAGACCATTGAAGAAACACCCCACAAGGCACCCCATTAACCAAGCTACCTGAAACAGCCTAAAATTTGTTGTAGAACTGTGGAACAGCTTTATATTAGATGGTTCTGCCACACTACTGAAAAAATTAAGTTCTAATAATATATATGATTAGGGTTTTCCAAATACTATATATAGTGACTTTACCTTGGCTAATACTATTTCCAATCTACATGGTTTATTTGAAGTAACTCAAATGTGCATTGAAAATTTGTGTAGGGAGTAATAACTTCTTTACTCCATTAACTAAGTTTAATACATTGTAATCAATATTCCCTTAATGGTTTCAAAAATTAGATTTTTTTCCTGATATAGTCCAGGTCCCATGTAGATCTGCCTGAACACAAACTTGCAGTAGAAGATGACCTTGAACTTCTGGCATTCCTGTTTCCTACTCCCAAGAGCTGACACTACAGGGAGTGCACCAGGATGTCATGTTCATGCAATGCTAGGTCTCTAACCGAGGATAAAGTTTTAATAGTAGGCAAGAAGTCCATAAATTAAGCTACTTTCAAAAAATAGTTTCTTACCTCATAGGAGCAAGAACTGAACTGCATATGTATGTGACCTGCATATATTTATGCCTTATAGACTACACCTTATTCTCCCTAATGCTGCTAATCATTCACAGGAAGAAACAGTTGCATTTTGGGTTCACAAGTTTTGCTGAGTGCATTACAATTCCCATTAATGATTGCTCATATTTTTTTCTGGGCTCCACATGGACAAAGACCCAACCCTGTCCTCTTTCTAACAATTTCTCCAGGGGGGAGCCAATAATATATGTTTATCCAATCAAGACACCAGCATTTGGACTGCTATCTAATAACAGTAACTGTAACATTAAGGACAAAAGAAGTTTCCAGTTTCTGATTTATTTGTCATCCTGCATTTTTTTCCTAGTCCCTCTCACTTCTGTGAGAGTGGTCTGGGCATGTTTTGTATCCATAGTTAGCCAGTGGGAACGGGAGGACCTGATAATTCCTTGTTTTGTAGATGGAGAAAAGCCTGCCCTGGGACACTTGCCCTGAACAATAACCTTCCTGGACAGGAGGAAGGTTCTTCCTGTTTACTTTTCCTTTCACTCACTATAGTCCAGCACAGAGCTGATGCAGCTGCTGGAGTGCAGATTCTTGTCACCTGAATGGAGGGTGCTGGTTAGCATCTTAAAGAGTTTTCAAAGTTGAGAATATAAAGGCCATAGGAAGAAATCCGTCAGTATGCCTGAGAGAAAATATGTGACATAATACAGCTGACATGGAATATCTCCACTGTGATCTCAAAGTATCATTATATGAAGTGGAAAGACAGGCAAGGTGTGTTTTTCATTGGCTATTGAGACATCTCTTTTGGTATTTTTTTTTCTATTTTGAATATTGCTAATGATATGAATCTGTGGAAATGAATTCTTTTTTATTCTTTCAAGGCAGTTACTTCCAACAGTGAAATAAATTACTATGTTGATGCATTCTGTATGTTTGTGGGCATAACACAATTGCTTAACCAAAACATACATACATGGTATCAGTTTCTTAAATATACTCATATTAATGGATATAATCAGGCCATGGGGCATATATTTGTCTCTACTGCAGACTTTTTGATATATCCCTCAAAGCAAACACTATGACCATGTACTCTAGTCACCTTTTTCTTTGAATTTTTAGGTCAACCAGTTTCTTAATATATCCACTTATTCGTTTTCAGACCAATCAAAATGCTAATCATTATTTCCAGGCCTGATGTAAGTATCATTTTAACCCTGACAGATCTTTGTCTCCTGTGGAATAGTTGCCTGCACATGTTAAACTCTTTGCATTCAACCTGTCATTAAAACTCATGATAATCCATCATAACTTTACTCCCAATGAAGACACAGTCTGGACCCCAATATAGCTATAACTCCCTATGTGTAGCTTCCACTTGACTTTGTTACATGCTTCTCTTACCACACAGCTTGTGTCCCTCTTCCTTGAACCTAAACAAAGAGTTGTGTCCTCTTAGTATCTGGAAGAGTTATGGTGCCTATAGCCAGAAGCATTTCTATGTCCCACCTAGTCCACAGCCTCTCAGACCCAAGTAAAACACACAGAGGACTATATCAATTAAAACTGCATGGCCATGGCTCAAGTCTTTTGCTAGCTAGCTTTTATATTTTATATTAGTCCATAATTATTAATCTATATATCACCACAACTTCCGTAGCTTTACCTGTATCCCATTACACGTTGCTCCTTGGGGAGCTCCCTGGCGTCTTCCCCCCACCTTCTTCATTTCTCTTTCTTTGAATTTCCTGCCTGCTTATCCAGCCTATACTGTCTGCCTGGCCACTCGCCAATCAGCATTTTATTAAACCAGTGTACAAAAGCATTATCCCACAGAAGGTGCCCATAGCATATGCAAGGTTAGCAACCACTGTACATTCAAAGACATGAATGATATTTCTAACATAAAACACCTATTACTTAAAGACAAAAATTTGTGTTAAAGAGGAAATGGAAATCAGATACAATAATGTGAAGCCTCATGGGAAGACTGGGCATAGATATAATTCTAGCCTAATCCAGGAAGAGAGATCATATTCACAATTTGAAGGGGAGAAAACCTATGACTTTATCCAGCTTTCATAGTAATTCTTTAGTAACTGAACTGTCATAGAGTGAAATTAGATTATGTGAAAAAAATGAGTTAGTTATATGAGATCTTGACCTTTACAAACCATGTCTTCCAATATTATATTTTTATTCATATGGAAAACATCATGAT